CCCTAAACCCTAAACCGCAGCTCCCGAAGACCGGGTCCTAGAACCCCTTCAGCAGTCTTCCCGCGGCGCCATGCCTGGGCGGAAAGCGTCCTTGGACCGCTCCAGAAGTCCACGTCGGGAGGGCGACGCGAAGAAGGAGGAGAGCCTTCCTATCGACGTCGAGGCGGGGGGGTTTGGGTTTAGGGTTTAGGGTTTAGGGTTTAGGGTTTCCGGTTCAGGGTTTAGGGGTTTAGGGGTTTAGGGTTTGGGGTCTGAGGACTTAAGGGAACCCTTAAAGTATAATTCTCGGAGAGCCTTCCTGTCGACTTGTATTTAGGAAGAGTAGGGTTCAAGAGTTGGTAGTCTTTTTAAGTAGTAGGGTCACTTGTTTTGGATACGAATTTCGTTTGAGTTGAGCTCAAACTCCGTAAGCAACGCTCAAAGCTCCAAATGGGGGGCTTGGGGTTTGGGCGTACGCTGAGCCCACCTCTTCCTTAAGACAACCATGGAGTTTCAGGCAGGGCCCTAAACCCTAAACCCTAAACCCTGAACCCTAAACCCTAAACCCTAAACCGTGTACAGCGCCGTCGGTTCACGCGGGCATGTTTGGGGTTCCATGCCAGGCTACTGGAGCGCTCAGGGTGGCACCAAACCCTAAATGGTCCCTAAACTTAAAACCCCAAAAGCTAAAACGCCACCATCTCTAAACGCTGAAACTCCTCAGCCCTAAACCTAGTAACGATTCGCGAAAGCTTCCGCGAAAGCCCAAGCCTTGAGGTGTTGAATGCCGTTTCCGGAAGACAACTCTGCGGTTTCAAAGCTGATGAGAGATGGTCCGTGGCAGATGTGAAGGACAGAACGCCCTTATGTACATACCGCAGCCAGCAGCTCCTCATAATCTTAAGCCCCAAAGTCCTAAACCCTAAACCCTTAATCCTAAACCCTAAACCCTAAACCTAAACCCTAAGCTCTTTGAACACCGTAAGCATTCCCTAAGCTCCGAAGGCCTTCAGCGCCAAACCCTAAAACCCGAAAAGCTTGAAGCCGTGGACAAGGTCAGACCTTTAGCGCAAGACCCTGTCCCAGAGACCATCAAATCCCACCAAGACCCTACGACGCCCCTTTAACAACTCAAAATCGCACTCTAGCTCAAGACCGTAAACCCTAAACCCTGAACCCTAAGCACGAGAAACCCTAAACCCTAAACCCTAAACTCTAAACCCAAAACCCTAAACTCTAAACCCTAAACACTAAACCCTAAACACCAAACACTAAAGCCAAACCCTAAACCCTAAACTCTAAACCCTAAACACTAAACCCTAAACCCTAAACCCTGAACCCTAAACACTAAACCCTAAACCCTAAGCACTAAACCCTAAACCCTAAACCCTAAACCCTAAACCCTGAACCTTAAACACTAAACCCTAAACCCTAAACCCACTAAACCCCTAGACCCGTATAACCATTACCAAGGATGCTGGCCTCTGATAGCAACCC